GAGATCTTATTTCCGGGGGATGCCTTATATTTCAGTGAGAGGCAAAATTGTAAGTAGGTCTTATTTTCGGGGGAACACGGTATGTGTGAAGAAGGTGGCAGTGGCAGGTGCTTTGCCACATCCAAACTCAACCAGGAAAATGCACAGACCCATCAAGACTTGTTGCCACTGAGTGGCTCCACCGCCTGGCGGCCCCCACGTGGGAGAGCAGAGCAGACTCCAAGGGCTTTCCCGGGTGGATTTCTGGGAAGTAGACCACCAGATGGACTTTCTTCTCGGGGCGGACTCAGACTTCCGGCTTTTATTGCACAGTTAGGGCACACAGACGCATGCCTGTGTGGTAATTGGAAGCTGTGAATGTATACGTATGTGAAGGTGTGTGGGAAAGGGGGCCAGACAGGAAGGCAGAGCACCCAAACCCTGACTAATGACTTCAGCTTTCCCTGCAGAATCAGCAAGTCTCCGGCTGTCCTAGTGATGCAGCCTCTAAAGAGATTACAGCTGCCAAAATTCGACGGACTGTGGCTTGCTGAATGAGGTGGCCCTGGGTGCCCGCTACCACCCATCCCACACACCTGTACCCTACCCAAAAAACTCAACTGCCATCCAGTCCATTGAGACGCATGGTGACTCCACAGGTTTCAGGGCAGAAATGAGCTCCGTAAGGTTTTCAGTAGCTTGCCTAACCTTTTGTCCGACGCACCAAGGGTATATTCGAACCGCTGGCCTTCTGGTTATTGGTCAAGCATGAACCAGCACCCTACCCTAAAAACCCAGCGCCATTGATCCTGAATCACAGTGACCCTAAAAGAGTCGAATTGTTCCTTATGGTTTCTGAGACTGTAAATCTTTATAAAAGATCTTTATAAAAGCAGAAAGCCTCATCTTTCTCTCATCAGCTGGTGAATTTGAACTGCCAACCTTCAGTTAGCAGCCCAAGGCTTACCTCAGAATGCCATCAGGGCTCCCTTTGCAACCTATACCCACCTCTTCTTTCTGATTCCCCTTTCCCCTCATGTCTTTGGGCCTCATCATCAACCTAAGAACATTCTTCATTGTTCCTTTAAAGGTGGCACAAGACCCAAGAAGATCATGCTGAATTATCACTCGACACACATTAGGTAGCAGCAAGGACTTTTTGCCTGGAATCACGGCCACTCAATTGCAAATGGTTGGTTTGAGCTATTTGCATTATATTATTTAACAAAAATATTACAAAATATCTGTGGTTGTTAGCAGTCATGAAGTTGGCCCTGGCTCACGGGGACCTGTGGTAGGGGCAGAATTTCATGTCAACTTGATAAACAGGTTACAGGGGTGGAGTCTAGTGTGCCAATCAGGTCTCAGCCTGACTGATGCCTCCTTGTGGGTGTGGCCTTCTCATGAGGATGCTGGGTTTTCCTCTTCCTCCCTGGAGGTGGGACACCCACGCTTTCTCTCTGCTTCATCGTCTTGTTGACAAGACACATGGATTCAAGCTGATGGCAAGAAAAGTCCTGGAGATAAGTCCACTGCCATTGGATCCACAGGACTTTCCACCCATTGGCCTGTGATCTTCCTGCATTCGGCATCACTGCATGTGCTACGTGAGTCTGAAAAGGAATTCATGGGCTAATACTGGATATATGGGCTAATATTGAACTTATGGACTTGATCTGGACTGGGCTGGGATGTGTTCTTGATGCATAATTACTTCTTGATATAAACCTCTCTTGTACACACATCGGAGTGCCCCTGGATTGGTTTGCTAGTCGACCCAGCCCAACACAGGACCCATGCCCGACAAGACTAGACTGTGGTGATAGGTTTCCCTGGGCTCATTCCCAGATCTCCAGACCTTTCTTCATATACTTTGTCTTAATCTAGAAGCTCTGATGAATCCTGTTCAGCACCATGGCAGCATGGAAGCCTCTATTGATGGGTACAAACTTCGTGGCCGAGAACAGATTAATCCGTTTTCAGTTGTTTCTTATGGGAAAAATTGATTCGGAACTCGACTGCATCGCATCTCGATGCTCCTTCCAGAACCCTTTGAGGTCCGGGGCTGCACCGCATAGTGGATGCAGACCAGCCTCAGGAAAACGCAGGTTATATCCCACTGCGATCCTGCCTTGCTAATGTAATGGATAACGGACTGCAAGATGGAAGCCAACCCTCATAATACATTACAAACACGGAGGACGATGGCTACGTTGTAGTTAGCTGCCGTCAAGTGTCTTCCGATTCACAGCAACCCTGTGTACAACAACACAACACACAGGCTGGCCTCACACCGTCCTCACCACGGTTCCCATGTGGGAGTCCACGGTCAAAGCCACTGTGTCCAATCCATCTCAGGTGGGCCAAGCGAGACCTACCACACTGCGATACGGTGCACCTGTCACCTGCAGTCATCTGGATGATTTTAAGGTACATGCAAACGTCCTTTTTAATATGTATAAAATATACCTACAGTTAGATATTTGAATCTCGCACAGCAGTTACTCCATCTGGTACTGTCACTCAAGAGAGGCTCACTACTCACCTCTAAGGCCAGTGTCTTCCTGAGAGACTGTCTGGTCGTTTCTTAGCATGTGGGGCACCTGGAGACAGAGGCTCTCCGGATGTGGGGAGATGGACTCCCACCCACTGCTCACCCTCCCAGCCGAGCAGCCCTGTGAGGACGAGGATGGAGAGCTCCCCATAGCAGGCCTCCTTTCCCAAATCAGACACAGCAGCTGCACACATTTTTTGAAATATTTAATGAAAACGAAACAAAAGGTCTGGCATTGTAATAATTAGGTTTACAAACTTGACACAGTCTTAACAATAGCCATTTACTTATTTATTATACATTGTCTAAGAAAATAAGGTCTATCAAGACATCAACAATATACTCAGAAGGGTCCATCATTTGGATACAGAGCTCTGCAAATAAGTGTCCCGTCTAACTGTAACAATCCACTGGGAGCATATTTAACCACGCCGATAAAACACCAGTTACATCCAAGTCTCCGGAAACATACAGCATGCCGACGCCGACGCCGGCCGCTTTTACAGGGAGCAGCCTCCTTTATTTTTTTTCCCTTTTTATTATCAAAATGGCAAATCACTGTATGGTCCTGGATCTCCAAGCTATAAAACTGAAATATGTGTTTCCAGCGTAGCAGATGGTGACCAGGAAGGCAAAGAACTGGGGACGACAAAGCAGAATAGGAGGGGGTTTAGGGCACGTTCTAATTAGAGACAATTCCCGCTTCACCTCCACTGACGCGTGCGATCCCAGCATGCCCCTGACTCCTGACCTTCTCAGCTCAACTACTGTATTGGTTCATTGACCTTCCCTAACAAACGCTTTCTGGTTCTGCAGTCTGTATGTTTGGTGGGGACACGTCTGAAAGGCCCGGGGGCCCGGATGGCGGCGGTGCATCTGAGGAAAGCAGCACTTCGAATTGAGTGTGGGCGATTTTAGACCAGGGAGCAAGGTCAGCTAGCCACGGGACCCGTGGACACAAAGGATTCCAGTGAGCTTCAGTCAGCCCTGCGTCCACACGTGGCCTGCGTGGTTGGGATGGCAGTGGCCAGGAGACTGCAGCCCCTTCCATGGGCGCTGTTGCACCCGGTTTCTGTCATTCGTGCAGGAGTTACCTAGTGTCCGGTGTGGTCAAACTCTTGGTTTTTAATCTTGTAGGCACCCACACTCTCTGCTTTTAAATAGACATCTCCAAATACGAAAATAAGTAAAGGCTATAATATGAACACATCTAAGTATCTAATGAGTTACATGTACTTGTCAAGCAACCTCAATAGTCTCATCATTTGGACTCCCCACCCCCCCAATGCTGCCCCTTATTTCTCTGAGGCTGGAACACTGTAAGGCCCGTCTCAGAGAAATTCTTAAAATGGGTTCTGTGAAGTAGAACCCTAACACACTCGGATGGTTATAAAGTGCAAACAGAACAGCGAGATACAAGTTAAAAACGAAGCAGAAGTCCTTCATTGCACCCCGGGGATCCCCCAAGGCCAGACCCTGGGGAGAGACTGGTACCCATTTGTTCCTAGGCTCTTCCAATGCATAAGCAGTCATTTCTCCTTTAGAACTCCACTGTGCCCGGTCCCCCACGCAGTGCTCCCGTAGGAAGCCGAGCTCTCGTCTGAAAGGCGCAGACAGGGTTTCTTCCCACCCCTGCTCCTCTTCCTGCTATGCAGCTGCCCCTCAAAGCCCAGGCTCCGAGCCTCCTGCACTGCAGGCCAAGAGACACCCTGGCAACGGTCGCTCATTCAACTCGGTGTGGCAAATGCACTCGCCCCTCAACCGTTGGGACACGTGCTGTCACGACCCTGGTCGCCACACGCACACCGGAGCAGCAACTGTCCCACTTCCTCCCGGTGTCCACCGTTCGTTCCCCTTCACCCTCCTTCCCTGCCTCTGGAGTCCCAGCAACCTTTGAGGCTCTGCCAACCAATCCGTCAATTGCCAGCGAGGCCAGGACGGCGGATGGTCCCTGGGGCTGGGAGGAGCGGGGAGGGGGTCCTTACTCACCGAGGAGGCGGCCCAGCTGTTGAAGTTGTGGCTGTCCCGCTCGGGGGAGACGGAGGAAGCATCCACCACTGCGGCGGAGAGGTACAAGACGAAGGCACTCCCGTTGAAGCACAGGCCCTGGGGGGGGGGGTGGGCACCGGGTCTGGGCAGCGCCGGAGCTCAGCCATGCCCAGAGCTGCCCTCCCCTCCGGGGCTGTTTGGGTGAGGGGCTATGAGGAAGCAGGGCTCCCATTCCGTGGGAGGAGGAGGCCAAGGCCAGAGGGCCCCCCCACCAGCTTTTGTGCAGCACGTCCTGACGCCGACACAAGGCCCACACGGCGTGTTACCCCTTGGCCAACGTGCCCTGCAGCATTTGGGGTGTCGTAAACCCCAGGGTGACTTGCGTCATTCGAACCATTCTAACGGTACGATCCCAGGATACTAATTCAACTTCCTGAGAAGTCATTGTCCAAAACTTTTTCCCCAAATGTTTTTTCATCGCCTCTAACAGAAACTCTGTCCCCAACTAGGCAATGGCTTCTCACTGCCCCATCTACCCTGTCCCGGTCACCCCTGATCTGCTGGTTTGGTCTCCAGGCGTCAGCCTTTTGTGGAGAGCCCGCAGTCTGTGGGAAAAGCCCCCCATGTTGTCATTCACGTCCCCACGAACGTTCTGCAGCCCCCCGGTACATTTGTCCTGTGGTATCTCAGGTCTGTCACTCAGCAAATGTTTTCCAGTTCACCGTGCGGCAGCAGGTGTCTGGACTTCGTCCCTCTTTGTGGCGGAGCCATATGGCCCTGATGGACAGACCACAGGCATCTGTGGATGGACACGTGGGTACCTGGGTTGTCTCCTGCTGTGCACAGCGCTGTGATGCTCACTGGTGCATGCCAGTTGGTGGCTGGTGCCCCCCTCTCACCCAGATGTCAGCTGTGCCCTGCTGGCTGAGGAGGGGAGGCGGCAGCAGCAGCCCCACTGTGACAGTCCCTCAGCTGTGGCCCTGCAGCCCGCCAGGCTCATGCCCCTTGAATACAAAGCTGGGAGCGAGCCTGTGATAAGACAGACCCCGCGGATTTCCAACCTTCCGGCTCCCAATATGGAGGGACATAGGGAGCTTCTAGAAGCAAATAGTTAAAAATAAAAAGGAGATTATAGGTAATAGTGTACTACCCAGGGAACTAATAACCTTGGTTTCACCTCACTTCCCCCTAATCCAGTGGTTCTCAACTTGTGGGTTGCAACCCCTTTGGGGGTTGAACGACCCTTTCACAGGGGTAGCCCGATTTATAACAGTAGCGAAATGACAGTGATGAAGTAGCAACAAAAATCATTTTATGGTTGGGGGTCACCAACACATGAGGAACTGTCTGAAAGGGTCGCAGCATGAGGAAGGTTGAAAACCACTGCCTTAATTTTAAAGAAGAGATATATAAATCCCAGCAAGTGCTTGGTTGTCAGTTATATCCAAACACTTGGAAACCATACTTCCCAATGCGGGAACAATGCAAGGGCTATAACACTTCCCTTCCCCTGCAAAACCACCACCACCGCCAAAACAAACAAACAAACAAACAAACAACCTTTCCCTTCATAACTCACAGACATAGCGAAATGGGTAGTGGAAGGGAGAGGCAGCAGTACATTTCTCTTCCCTGAGGGGAAAAGGTGCACAGAACTTCCTGGAACCAAGTCTCGGCCTTCTTGCTTGGGCCATGAAACCTCAGCTGCAGTTTAACACAGTGCTCACCCCAATTCTGAGTTAGGGAGGCCGGCAGGGGCTCCATCTAGCTCAAAAGCAACAGAGCCCACATGGAAGAAGCACACCAGCCTGTGTGACCACGAGGTGTCGAAGGGATCAGGTATCAGGCATCAAAGAACAAAAATATCATATCACTGTGAATGAGGGGGAGTGCAGAGTGGAGACCCAAAGCCCATCTGTAGGTAACAGGACATCCCCTTACAGAAGGGTCGCGGGGAAGAGACGAGCCAGCCAGTCAGGGTACAGTGTAGCAACGATGAAACATACAACTTTAGTTCCTAAATGCTTCCTCCCTTCCTCACTATCATGATCCCAACTCTACCTTACAAATCTGGCTAGACCAGAGGATGCACACTGGTACAGACAGGAACTAGAAACAGGGAATCCAGGATGGATGATCCCTTCAAGACCAGTGGTGTGAGTAGCGATACCGGGAAGGTGGGGTAGAAAGGGGGAACCGATTACAAAGATCTACATATAACCTCTGGGGGATGGACAACAGAAAAGCAGGTGAAGAGAGACGTCGGGCAGTGTAAGACATGACAAAATAATAATAATTTATAAATTACCAAGGGATCATGAGGGAGGGAGGAGCAGAGAGGGAGGGGGAAAATGAGGAGCTGATATCAAGGGTTCAAGTAGGAAGCAACTGTTTTGAGAATGATGAGGGGAACAAATGTACAAATGTGCTTGACACAATGGATGTACGTATGGATTGTGATAAGAGTTGTATGAGCCCCCAATAAAATGATTACAAACAAAACAGGGGCTCTATCAGGGACTCACCCAGGGGACTGACTGCACAGCCTGCTCATTAGCCACCAGAAACTCATCCCCAAGAAGCCCGGGTCTCTGCCTGATTCATTATGCCCGTGGTTGTGTTTTTTGGTCCAAGAATACATTGATGCATCTTTTTAAAAAAATCTTACTGGCATATAAAATTTTTCTTATGGCTATACCACCTCTTGAAATAGAAGATTTTACACATTTCTAGGGACCACGTGTTATGGATTCAATTGTGTTGTGCATCCTAATAACCTCCACACTTGGGTTTCTAATCCATTTGGGAGTGGTTGTCTCAGCTATGTGAATGAGGCAGGATTGGTGTAAACCCAAACCCAGTGCTGTGGGGTTGATCCCAACACAGAGCGGCCCTCTAGGGCAGGGAACTGTCCCTGCGGGTTCCTCAGACTGTCACTCTGCAGGAGTAGAAAGCCTCATCCCTCCCCTCCCCAGGGCTGCTGGTGGTTTTGAAGAGGGGAAGACATCCTTTTCTGAATTCTATTCTATGTGGTATTTTAAAAATGCCTCCTTTGCCCCAAATAAAGGCACAAAAAACCCAAGCCAAACCCAATACACTTCAGAGAGCTTGTAACCCTTTGCTGCCCCTAGTCAAGGGGTTATCGGTGTGCAGCGCGAAACGTGGAGCTGCTAACAGGTCTGCTCCCTGGCAAGAAGCATTTGATTCTTTTAGTTCCCAGGCACCTCCCGTAGCTAGACCCTGATCAAGGCGCTCCGTGTCACCTGGCTGCCAATGGAAAGGTTGGCAGCTCGAACCCACCAGCCACTCCATGGAGAAAGATATAGCTCTGAACTTCTGCAAAGGCTGACAGCCGTGGGAAGCCTACGCCTGGGGCACTGCTACTCTGCCTGCCAGTCACTAGGAGCCGGACTCCACTAGGCAGCCACGGGTTTGGCCGCTTCCCTTTGGGTAGACCCAGATCACGGCATTTCAGAGCCATCGTTTTAAGATAGGATGGTGAGCTTTTTCTCACACACTTCAGACGTGTTAGCCGGAGACTCGAACAGGCTATCCTGTGGGGGAAGGCAGAGTGGGGGTGAATAGAGGAAGATGTTGAGCGAGATGGATTGGCCCAGTAGCTGCAACAGGGGGCTCGAAGGCAACAGCCATTGTGAAGATGGTGTCGTACCAAGCAGCGTGTTGTCACACAAGATCCTTATGAGTCAGAACTGACCCCACGGCCCTAACTACAGCACTACGGCTGGAAGGGGCTCGGAGGGACTGCGATGAGGGTGATGGTGGGAACTGCAGGGTTCCCAAGTCCAGAGGATGCATGGAGGTGGGCCCGGGACTGAGGGCTATGAGGGGAGTAAAAGTTTGGCTTTCTACTGTTGTCTCAAATCGGACTGGGCACAAAGCACTTCCAAACATCTCTGGGCAAATGGTATGGTAAGTCGGAGCTCAGGAGCGCTGGAGGGAACCAGCTGTGGTTCCTGCCATCTCACCGACAGGCAACCCTGCACCTGCATTCTCCCCAGGCGGGCACAGGAGGCACCGGCAGATTTGATCACAGGTTCCACTGCAAGGCTCATCTTATCAACTAGGGGGTGGGCTGCACGGAGGGTTCCTTGGGGGTCTTCTCAGTCAAGTTCCCAGGGGATAACTGCAGGGTGCACTGATCTCTTGCTGCAACCTTAGATCCCTAACTGCCCTGAGAAGCAAAAGTAAACTCCAAACTCTGGAAGCAATTGCTGACCAGTGGGTGATGGAGCATTTCCCTCCTAGCAGGAGAATACACAGGTCCTTGCAGAAACAGTAAGGTGTCTGATGACAGTGCTGTCCCGGGCTCCGAGGGAGGTGTTCCATCAGTTGGAAATGCATCCAATTACTTTAATATTTGGAAAACAAATTCTCAATTCCAAATGCATTTGGCCCTGGGGTTTTGGGTAAGGGACCTGTCTCTCAACCACCACTTCCCAAATGACAGGTGCCTAAGAATCATCTGGAAAGCTTGTAATCATGGCAATTCCCAAGCTTTTTTCCCTGGAAGTTTCTGATTCGGTAGGTTTGGGGGCCGGAAGGGGCAGCGGGAGATGGGAAGACTTAGATCCTGTATTTCTTTCTTTTCTTTTTAAAGTAGTGTTATTGACCTATCTTATACACGCCAATGTATCTGTGCGCATACAATTCTGTTGTTCATTCCCGACTGGAGCTATAAAATCATCAATGCTATTAGCTCTCCATTCCGCACAGCCCCAGCCCCCATTCTGTATTTCTGTCACGTTCCCAGATGAGAGGCCCAACTGGTCACCAGGAGGGTCTGCACGATGACAGCCAGCATGTGACATCCTCAGTCTGTTCTGTAATAGGCTCTGTGGGCACAGGCAATAGACAAATCTAGCCTGCGGTTTTGCCCTCGTTAAACATGGAAGGTTTTCCCAGCCTCCCGGACTCTGGAGATTCAGGTAACTTTGCTTTTCCAACTCAGAGATGCTCTGAGAGGTTGCCAGGGCACTCTTGGGTTCAGACAGGAAATAAAACCCAACCACAAGTCAAGGCACATTTGGCCTGCAGCTTTGTCCGCATCTGATGAAACTGGAAAAAATAAAAAACAAAAACAAAAAACCAACAACAAAAAACCCCAACTTTTGCTGTCAGGATTTGAAAACTTGGGAGAATTTACACAAAATGGATTGAGCCTCTTCTCTCTCTCTCAGTGTCATCGAGTCGATTCCAACTCACGGAGACCCCACAGCAGCGCTTCCCGACCTTCCTCATGCCGAAACCCTTTCATACAGTTCCTGCTGTTGTGGTGACCCCCCCAACCATA